CACACAAGTCATACATGTCACACATATACACTATGTGCACCATGTACACATCACATAGACACACTGTAAATACCACACACCACATGTACACCACACATGCATGCCATACTACTTACACGCCAAACATATTAGATATACACCGTGTACACACTATACACACTACATACATACTATACATACATACCATACCCATGTACATATCCCACATGAACACCATACACATATCACAGAAGCATTCCACACATTTCACACACATATAGACCACACACACACATACCCCACATATACCATACCACACAGACACACATATACACACATATACACACATATTACACAAAGACACACATTCTCCCCCAACACCACCCACGCCCTTTCTGCATGCCACATATACTTCATACATACACATGCATACACACACCCAATCTCATCCATTAATTCATTGCCTCTCAAAGCAGAGTGCCCATAGGGGACAGGCCCTTCAAAAGCCAGCCCAGAGCTGTGTTGCTTATGCCTAGCCAGCACTATAAAAACACATGCTTTGTCCCTTCTCTCACCATCTGTGTTCAGCACAGATCCAAGAGACTGGTGAACGGTCTTTTGTGGTAACACTGATACTCAGGGTTGAGAGCCACTCAAAGGGCCAAACAAATGAACACAAACAAAGCTTCTCAATGAGGTGGCAAGAGATGCCTCTGGGCTGGCTCACGGCTATGGTCCTGACTTTGCTTGTGACTCAGGACCTGCCACTCCTAAGTTTGCTTGCTGGGGAAAGACCAAAGTGTCCAGGCTCACTTGGGAGAGGTAGTGCTTAGCGCAGTGACTTCACGTACTCTTCCCCTCAGTGGAGACTCCCGGTGCACCTGTGTAAGCAGCTGATTGAAGGTGTTGGCTTGCGACAGCAAGTCTAATTACATATGAATGAAATCTTGGCCAAAGGAAGTAAATGGAGTTAATCTCCACTCTGATCCTAAATGAGGGTTACACTATAGTGATGACCATTGTCCAGTGCAGGCCAGGCTTCAGCACAGCCCACTTCCTGTCAGAACTCTGCCTTCTATTTACCCTCCCTGACTGACCTTTCACCTGCCTGCTGCCTTGCTTATCTCAAAAGACTCACCAAGCACAGGTCACATGCTTAATGCTTTTCTAATACTCTCTCTGCTCTCTCTCTCTCTCTCTCTCTCTCTCTCTCTCTCTGTGTGTGTGTGTGTGTATGTAGTCTCTCTCTCTCTCTCTCTCTCTCTCTCTCTCTCTCTCTCTCTCTCTCTCTCTCT